TGTCAACAGCACACAGCCAATGTTGGCGCTTGGCTTCATGTCTGTTCCAGCCCAAATGGGCTGATGCAGGTGCTACCCTGGGGATGTGGCACAGAGAGTTGTGTCAATCACGAGGTTCCTTTAGTAAAATGTTACTGCTTTATAGAAAGAATGTCCCTGGGAAAGATTGGTCATAGAAGCCTACACTGCCAGTGATCCCATGTGAAAAAGGAAGATAAGGGAGACCCATTTGGAATAGGCTGGAGGATCTTTCTGCCCCTGCAGTGGGAATAGGACATTCAAGGTACACCCAGCCTAAAGCTATATTGGTCAAAGATCTCATGGATTTTGTGCCAAATCCCCACAGCAATTGCTGGGCACTAAAGACAAAATCTGTGATTGTATCTTATGTCTGCACCCACCTGCCCCATTCTCTTTTTCTTAACAAGAGCTCAAGAGCCACCTGGTGGAAGGTTTCTCTAGCAACTTGGTTGGAGGCTTTTAGCAACAGGCAACAAGCTTCTCTCTGATTGAATCTGGTTGGACCTGAGGTCCACTCTACAGGAGGGGATACCCCATAAAAAAAACGCCAATGCTTGGGAAGATCATGGGTCCCAGGGGGTAACTTACTACTGTCCTTTAGCTAAATTGACATGGTATTAAACTGCCTTCCAAACACTCTTGTTTTATACCAATAGACAAAGGCTACTCAGATTGAATGAGAGAGAGCTCTCTCTGTAGTTCACCAACTGCAGTTAATACAGTTAATGGCTGTTCAAGGTGCTGAGAGCAAGTGTTCCATGCGTGTTCAGCTCTAAACAGGACACACTATTACCTCCAAGGCTCAGGAAAGATGGAGGAAGGGAGCAGGATCACAAGGAATGTAAGAGCTTGAAGCTAGGAGAAAGGAACAGTGAAATACCATTTCTGGTCTGGACTCAGCCATGATCACCATCTCCTGTCAGCAGCTCCCTGCTCTGGGCCTGTACGAGGCTGGGCCTGTCAACAGCCAGCAGAGGATGGGAGAAAGAGTCATGGGGCCCTATCCCTCCTTGCTGAACTATTGGCTACCGATAGATTCAGGAGAATCCCTCCTTGCTGAACTGCCAGCTACTGAATCAGAAAAAGGAAAAAGACATTGTCTTTAGCTGTGAGCCAGGCAGGCTCCATTGAACAGTTTTGAACCCATGAACATCTGAATCAGAAAAAAGAAAAAGACATTGTCTTTAGCTGTGAGCCAGGCAGGCTCCATTGAACAGTTTTGAACCCATGAACATAGAAACAGCCCTGGTAAAGCTCAGTGAGTCCTAAAAACAAAGCTAAGAGCCACGAATGAGGGATTTGTAGGGAGGAATGGGGAGGGGGTGGAGCTTAAATGGGGTTACTGAAGGTAATCTGAATACATTATATGCATGCCTGGAATTGTCAAAGAACAAATTTAACAAAAACTGTAAAATAAACTAAAGCAACAGGTTATAGGGAAGCAGCTGGGACAACATTCTAGCATTGCTCCAGAGAGCTGTTCTAAGGGACATACTTTTCCAAGTCAGTTTTAGAACAAGCTAGTCAATATCAATAAACAAAACTGTGTCTTCTTTGTTCTTTTGGTTAGTTAAATGTGTGTTACTTAGGTTAAAGATATGTGGAGATTTTATCTGTTTGTGTCCATGTTACAGGTTTCCAGTTTGATTTCACAGCGATTACGGATTATAGTCCATGGACTCTGGACATTTGAAATGTTTGGGGATTTGGTTTGTGGCTCACCACAGTCAATTTTGGTAAAGTGTTCACTGTGCACTTGAAAACAATCTGTATTCTGCGATTATTGAGTGGGTTTTCCCAAATGTGGCAGGTGACTTTTATTAATTTCATTGTTCAAATCTTCCTTTCTTAATGGTTTTCATCTGTTCTATCAGACGCCAAGAAAGGTACTCAAGCCAGCTATCTGTGGTAATGAGTTTGTTTCTTAGTCCTTTTAATTCTGTGACAATGTTCTTCATGTATATTTAGCAACTACTGCCAGGTAGGTTTTAAGTATTGTTTTGGCAGATCCATCTCATTCATTATGAAATTCTCCTCTCCCTGCTTACTTGTCTCTCTCTCTCTGATATTAGGATAGTTATAGCAACTTTTAGGGTGGTAGTTTGCACACTGCACCATTCTCTGTCTTTCAGTTCTTGGTGTGTGTGTGTGTGTGTGTGTGTGTGTGTGTGTGTGTGTGTGTGTAACACTAATGGAACATAGGGCTTCATGCAAGTAAATGTCCTAACTCATTGAGCTATGTTCCCTAGCCCACTTTACTTAAGACAGGCTGTCTCGATTTTGGCCAGGCTTGCCTTGAACTCACTCTGTCCCCATGCAGATTTGAACTTGTACTCTTCCTGCCCCAGCATCCAAGAATCAAGGATTACAGGCCTCCATGAACAGGCCTGCCTTTCAACATTTCTTTTTTCCCAATATTTATACTGCATGTCTGTCTTCTAAGTAATATGTCGTTGAAACGTAATAAATTAAATGAAATAAGCAATATGTAGTCTAAAAACTCTAATCTGGAGCTCCATTTTTTACATGTGGTGCTAACTAATAAATTCCTCTGGAAATCCACCATCATAGCTGCTGTTCACTTCACCTGCTGGGTTTCTCCTTTCCTGTCACTAGCATGCTGTACCATTCATTGCCATGCTGCATTTCTGAGCACTTGAAACTGTTCCCAGGAATGAAATCAGTGGCACTGGACTGCTCTCAGAGGACCCAGGACTCTGCAAAAATGACGAATTATTTCTCATCCCAAGATTATCAAGAAAAAGTATAGCAGGCAGTGAGCAAAATTTTAAAAGTTCTTTTTAAAGCTCCCTGGAAAATCTGATGGACAACATCGTCTTACAGCTTTTGATGGCAGACATGGAAAACATGACCTTAGAAATTTCTATAGGATCTACCTGTCTTCTGTCTTCTTTCCTGTTTTTGCATGCCCACACATGCATGTGATGCATGTGTGTGTGTGTGTGTGTGTGTGTGTGTGTGTGTGTTATGTACATGTACAAGCAAACATGGAAGGCACCATGTGTCTTATTTGGCCACTCTCCACCTTACTCCCTTGAGACAGGGTCTCTCATTGAATCTGAAGCTACATTGGTGGCCAGCAAGTCCCAGTAATCCTTGTTTTTGCCCCTACCCCAGCATTGGAGTTACAGGCACACATAGCCATGCCCCAGACTTTCTTTACATGGTTGCTGAGTATTTGAACTCAGGTCCTGATGCTTATACAGAAAGTTCTCTTACCTGCTGAGCCATCTCCACAGTTTTCTTAACACTTGTTCTGTGTCTGCACACAGCCTAGGGGCTGTCCCTTTAAGGCACAGAATGGCTGGCTGTCTCAGCCAGGAAGTTCAGTTTTACAAGGCACAATGGTAAATATGTGTCTTCACATGTCTGAGATGCCTAGACTTAGACATGCAAATGCACCAGAAACCCTCTTCCTTGTCAGGCCAGGGCTTTGCCAGCCGGAACCCCAAGGCCTGGAGTAGAAATGTCTGCACCAGCTCCATTCTCTGCAGCTTGCCTCCATTAGAAGACTAGTGTGTTTCTGTTTACACTATGCATATAGATCTTTAGTTATCTCTCAGAGGCCATATGATGTGTGCCAAAACTACTCAGTCACCATGCACTGGGGGTTTGTTTTCATTTTATTGTAAGTCACTGTGGCTTAGAGGTTACAAAGTCACCTTGAACAGTTCTGAACCATTGTTTGCTATAGGAAAGGGGGTTATCACAGGAGCCCCCAATACTGCTACAGAGTGCACCTTAACCTCTTTTGAAGTATATAGAGCTTCGAGCTGTTTGAGATTTGAAATTAGCATATCAGTTTTACTTTCCACAGTCAAATGCAGAAAAAGAAGTTTGAGGGTACATCAACAAACAACATTTCACTGTACGCAAGAAAAGGTTCTACAGTGAAAGAAATCCAAAATAAATCAAGGGGAAATACTTTGTTAACTGGACACATTTAAAAAACAAAACAAAACAAAACCACACACATTTTAGTGTGACCTTCTACCAAAATAAGAATGACAAACCAACAGCTATGCCCTAAGGTGAGTAGAGACATTTTAGCTACAAATCGCATTACAGATAAAATGCACAGATGGTGGTGTGCTCAGAAAAATAAATATTAACTTGAGACTTGTTTTTCTGTTTCTCCTATAATTCTTTAACAAGACCTTTTGTTGGGAACAGAATTCTGAGGAGTTTCTGTTTGTTTGCTTGTTTTCACTTAGCCTGAAGGTTTTAAAAACACACCATTTTTAAAATTACAAACTGAAACTCTCAGACCATTTAGTGTGCACAGGACCCTTGCTACTCAAGGTGCTTGGCGGCCACTGGGCACTCACCGCTCAGCAGTCAGAATGCGTTGGATACTGAGTCTGGAGCAAGGGTTCCACTTTCTGCTTCCAAGACTTTCTTCAGAGTAAGGCGCTCCCATGCATCCCACCCTGGGGTTGGCTTCCTCTCTCCCCAGAGGCCCCCAAGCAACTGTCACAGCCCATGGCATCTCTTCAAGCTTGAGGAAGAGGCTCAGGGCCAACAGCATGGGGAGCATTCCCAGCAATGCTCCCTTCCCTTGGCTCCAGGACACTGCCAGGGGGCTCTGGGGTCATCTGAGAATTACTCCTGGGAGCAATACAGTTACCAATCCATCTGGGAATTGGTATCTCTGGGTAGCTTACACACTAAGAGCCATTTTTAAGATGGGGTCTCCACACCAACTTCAGCCAGGGTTATGCTTTTGTCAAAGCTGGGGTCCTAAGAGGCACTGACACCCACAGGAGACACAGCACCCCACTTCTAACGTCTCCCTTGATCCTTACTCCAACCCAGTAAGGCAGTAGAGTAGATCGGGCAGAGGCACTGTGCAGAGAAGGCGCACTGTGGGGACAAGTGCCTAGGCCCAAAGTGGCCCCTGAGCCTGGAAGCCTGTCCTTCCCTGTGGTTCTGCAACTGCCCTCTGGCCACTTAAAACACTTTTGGAAGATGAGGTGCTATTGTGGCCAAATACCTGGGTAAAGTGGGTTTCCTGAGCCACTTGTCAAACCATCCTGAACAGGGAGAGGTGGGAAGGTGAGAACATTCAGACAAAACGAGTTCCTGAGAAAGTCAACCACTTCAAATTCTATAAGGAGGGGACACAGGAAGAATGAACACCTGCCTAGAGAAACCTCTGGCCTCCCCTGCCAGCCTGAGTCTGGTTGTGGGGAAACCCATGGGTATCCCACTTTTGAACATTTTATCACAAGGCAGGATGACTTTAGTTGGAGACCAGCTTGGGTAACATAGGAAACTCCAATCTAAAAAATAAAATAAAACAAAGGGCAAACTGGGGTCTCTGTGTGTCGGGGAGCAGGCTACCCAATGTCCTGGCAGCACACTGTGCCATGGGAGTTCCAGAGCTTCAAGCTAGCGGCTGTGCTGACCATTGGGAATGAGATGCCTGTTGGTACCAAGGCCATTCTTCAGGTAATCTGTCCCTTTGCCTTTGGTGCCCTCCTCTTCTTCCTCTTCCTCTTCCTCTTCATCATCACTTCTCACGTCCTGAATGCTCTAGACAAAGCAATGAATGGGCTGTGAGTGACAGCAATCTAGGAGAAAATTTTCATGAATTGCACACATACAGGTCGAGGTTTGAAAGCTAGCTCCTGTTAAAGAACCCAATACCCACATGGCTGCATTCACAGAGGCACAAACAGCACAAGTCAGACACAGATTTTAAAGGCTGAAAAAATTTGGGACTGGAGAGCAGGCTCAGTAGTTTAGAATACTGTGTTTCTTGCAGAGTCTCAGATTCAAGTCCCAGCATTCACATGGTGGTTCACAGCCATCTGTAACTCCAGTTACAGGGAATCTGATGCTATCCTCTGGCCTCCATGGGCACCACACACACACATACACACACACACACACACACACACACACACACAGAGAGAGAGAGAGAGAGAGAGAGAGAGTATACATACATGCATTCACAACAAAATAAATCTAAAAAATGTTTTAAAAATGAAAATTTGATTATAGCAATGGCTACACAATTCTATATACTCAAACTCATAACTCAAACCCAACAGGAAAAGCTCAGGTTAGTGAGGTGGCTCAGCAGTCTGAAGACCTGAGTTTAATGCCTAGGCCCCACATTATAAAAGGAGAGAACTGACTCCAAGTATTCCTGACTCATATATGCCCACCATGGAGCACACCCCCACATAAATGTAATTTTAAAGTGTCCATTTTGTTAATAATATGTGCATTTTTTCTTTAGAAAGCAAACACTGAACAAAAGCCTGGGCATGGGCTCTTTCCCTTTGAGTTACTGGTTGGGGTAGGGATGGGGGTCCCGACCTGAACAATACAGACTATTGCTGTTGTATTTAGCCATCCACAGAACTAGTGGGTAACAGCCCGTTGCTGAAGACAATATCCACTCCCATCACAGGGTTTGGAAAACTCGGGCTGGGACTGACCTGGAGTCGGGAAGGCCAGCTTTCACAGTGCTGGGCACAAGGTGCTGGGCAGGCTGCCAGGAGAGAAAGGCAGCAGCAGTCTTGCCAGCTGTGAACCTTCTATAAGGACAGTTCATCTGGCCAGGTGCCGGGTGCCCGTTGGCACAATAGTGGCCTGAGTGTTGTGGGGGGGGGAGGCAACAACTATCTGATTGGATTTAAAGGTGCTTGTCAGGAAGGAACTCAAGCTTGCTACTGTAAACTTGTCAAAGGATGCATGGGGAGAGCCCACTACGATCATCTTGCCAAGTGTTATAGAGTAGCCAACTGTCTTCTAAATATTTATTCTGAAACCCAAAGATTAGCCCAGCTCACACACCATGTCAGAGGGGCTTCTTTTTGCAGTGGATTGAGGTGAACTCAGAAAACCACAAATGATCAAAGCTTAGGGAATAGGTGACTGTGGAATGCTCGTACCCAAACAGGACAACTATATCGCATCTCCTCTCTCCAGGGCTCAGGGACCATCATAGAAGAGGGTATAGAAGACTGTAAGAGCCCCAGGTGAGAGACAAGTCTTCTGGACATGACAGACATTGCATTTACAAGCTCTGAATAGCTCTGTCTGTGGGCATGAGACCCGCACATGGTCTGTCTAGTCAATAGTCCAGCATGTATGGGTGGTGGGTTTCACAAGGCTCCACACTTAGTTGAGAAGCTATAAGCAGTAGGTAGCTACCAAGGAAGAAAAAGTCAGTTTTCCTCAGGGGCCAGGTCCTTGATAATTTACCCATGCTACAGTAGACTGCCCTACACCGATGTGTATATAGGCAACACTAGTGGGCTCAATGGGCTTTGGATCAATGAATAGGTAGGTATATATATATAATAAATAGATGGATAGATAGACAGATAGATGATAGATGGATGGATGGATGATGGGTAGGGAAGTAGGTAGGTAGGTAGGTGGGTAGGCAGATAGATAATCAGACAGACAGACAGACAGAGGACATAAGTTTGGAAGAGAGATAAAGGGGAGCCTGAAAGGAGTTCACAGGGGGAATTACAGGTGGATTTAATTAAAAAATACATTCACATATATAAAAGAGAAAAACAAAGAGAAAAATTAAAGGAAACACAATGGTTTTTTCTAAGTAAAGTATTAGTCACTGGGCATCTAGTTTTCAGGATAATTTTATTGCCAAGAATTGGAGTGTTTTCTCCTCTTGAAGTATAGAAAGTTTCTTCAGCAGCAATTCTTAACTGAGCTTGTGCTTCTTCTTCTAGCTTCTTAAAGGGAGTCTAGCTTCTTATGGGAATCCAGCAAGGAAATCTCCTAGAATGACACTGCTCCTGGGGAGCAGGATGGAACTTCTACCAACCAGGCCTTGGTGTGAAAAAGAACTCGGAAAGTCTAGTGCCCGATGTCGCCTCAGATCACCTCTTAACCATCCTACTGCCTTTCTTAAATTTAGCTTAGAAGAAGGAGAAAATTCACTAAAGGCAAGCTGTCTTCCTCACGTTTTTTCGAGATCTGCAGATCTGGAGGGACAGGCAACTGTATTCTGAATTTTCCAGAAATGCCAGGGTGCATGTAGTCAAAAGACTGGTATTCTGTTTTGTTCAGAACCTCACAGTTCCCGAAAACAGGATAGTAAGAACAAAACTGCCTAACACACACGTCAGTCTTTTCATTAGAGAAAGTTTGTGACTATGAAGGCACAAGCATCTGTCAACTATGTTATGTCATGTGCACATTTCACATGGCAATGTACAAAAATGTCTTTCATTGTTTGCTTTTATGATGGGGGCATTGTGCTATTATTTGAAATTATGTTTAGAGATGGATTACATGGCCTAGGATTGAACTGCAGGCTAGTAAAGGCTTGTGTGTCTAGTTGAATTGAGAATCACTGACTCTAACAAATCAGAGGTCAGATAGGAGTCCTGTGGATTTCCTGCAGATAAGACTGCTAGATTTGATAAGCAGGTGTTTGTGTGCTATATATAAGATGCAACAATACAGATTGAGAAATGTGTTGTTCAAATAGCAATGCTCTTTCCCAGGGGCACGCTGGACTGAGCAGTTAGTATGAACAGTAAGATTCCCTGTCAGATCACTGAGTATCAGAACCATACTATTTGCTTTAATAGACAGGATTAATGCTGGTGAGTATATGAGGGTTGGAATAAGGAAGTGACTTTAACAAAGCCACTGCACAGCTTAGAGCCAGGCAGGGCATAAACATGGTGCTCTACAGTCCCCTGCTGGACAAAGCCTGGTGGTGTAAGTGCTGATAGAGAAAGCAGCCCCAGGAGGCCTGTGACCCAGCCCTTTCCTCCCTGCCTGTCTGGCTGTCTCCTAGCCCCTCCTCACACCCATCCTGACCTTGCCCTTGGTACCATCAGGATTGGCCTTTAGGAAAAAAATTAAAATAGAGAAAATAAGCCCTAGTAAATGATTCTTATTAGGTTAGACAACCACAGACATGTTCATTGTATTTCAATTAAAATGGGTGTTCATTAGGGTATGGAAGAGCATGCCTGTAACACTAGCACTCAGGAGGCAGATGGATCTCCATGAGTTCAAGGCCAGCCTGGTCTACAGAGAAAGTTCCATGTCAGCCAAAGCTACATAATGAGATGCTGTCTCAAAAACCAAACAACAAACATTGAAAAAGATGTTTGAGAGCTAGGAGATGTCTCAATGGTTAAAACACTTGCTGAATAAGCCTTGCGATCTGAGTTCAGATCCCCAAAACCTACATAAAGCCAGAGACAGAAACTAGTCTGTTACCTCTGTGTTCCTATGGCAAGGTGGGAGGTGGAGGCAGGGGACTCCCTAGAATCGTGTGGGCCAGCCAGCCTGGCTTATGCAGTGTCTCAAACAAGGTGGAAGGTGAGGCTGGACACCTGAAGCTGTTCTCAAACCTCCACATATATGCTGTGGCATGTGCAAACACACATACACACAAATGGTGAAGATTTAGGAGTAGATTTTTACAACATATTCATGACTTACAGGGCACCATTTGAACAGACATTGGCTAAGGGGTGCTAGAAAAATGAAACTTCTCCAATTCTCCAATGAGCTGGAGTTAGAAAAGCTTAAAATAAGGACCACAATCTGTAGGAAAGAAATCACAACTGCAATGCTTTCCAGCAACTAAAATGCCTAATAGAAATACAAACCCAAATATTTTTGTGTAGGGGGCCCACATATGCACACATATGGTAAAGATTGGTGTTCTAGAACACTAACTGTGTGCTTTGAGTATCAATGCTTGCCTTGCAATCTTGGAACCAACCAACTCCATTTATTTTACCATGCTTCTCACTTGTGTTCCAACTGAAATACTAGGTTCTGTTTTGGGGCTACTAGAACTTGTCTCATTGGCCTTGGAGCTTCTACAAATCACTAAAGGACAAAAAAAAAAAAAAAAAAAAGGTATCATATACTGAAGAGCAGAGAGCGGATCTGTGCTTCAGCAGCCAAAGGGCTGTAGGGGCTCTGCATGGGCCCTATGCTCACCAAGGCATATGGGCACATGTGTTCCTCATCTGCTAACCCCCACCCCAAGGTCTTGGCAATCCCTGCTTTCTGTTACTATTCTGATCACTTGAGATCACTTCTCAAATTAGCAAAAATCATTCTAGCATTCAGTTGACCTTTCTCCAAAAATGGTCTTGGTCCTCTAAAATCACAATTGAAGATGGATGAATATCAATTTTTCCGGGTCTTTTAACAAGCTCCCTGCAACAAAGCCCCTTTATTCTCACAAAAGGCTCAGGAGGAATTTGAGGTGGGGTCCGAGTTGCTGGCTTTGACAACTGACCTCTGCCATCCTCATATCACTAAACTCCCTGACAACATGGGCTTACCATGTTGCATTCAGAGGATAGACATGAAATCATAGTCACTACGAAGGAAACCCAAGGTCAGTGTCAGAGCATCCCACACAGTAGCAGAAAAAGCCTAGGCTTGACTTTCTGGTTTAAGGCCCATCCAAAGCAACATTGTTCCTCATGCTCTAGAAGCGGGGGGCATAAAGATGAACATAGTCAAAGACTAGCTCATCCGGAGTCTTGAGGGTCAAGCTTTCAGTC